CCTTGTTTTGTTTTGTTTGAAGTTAAAGGCACTTGTGCACGGAGAAGAAAGAATCCGGGCACGATCATTATCCTAGGAAAGCAAAACCACCGAATTCCAACACTGTCACAAGGCCAGCGTCTGGCCTCTCCTGTTCACTGGCTCTCTCTCTTGTGGGTCCCGAGGGGGAGGACAGTCACCCTCCCTCAGCTCTGCCATTCACAGCACCTGCAGCTGCTCTCCCAGGCCAAGATGGGCTCCACTCTGAGGCAGCTGCTCCCCTTTGGTAGTTGTCCGGGGTACCCGCCTCTCCAAGACCCCCGCCTTCGCCGGCGACCGCCTGCCTCTGCTGGGCTCTCTTCGGGGGCTCTCTGAGCATGCCATGTGGAAATGCCAGACCTCGGCTGGTCCCCACGTTCCACCCCTTCCGGTCGCAGTGGGGTTCACCAGAGGCTGCACCTTTGCTCATGTCCCCTCTCAGCCTCTCCCTGGGCACTCCAGAGCCACCGCCCACCCCCAGCCTCCGCTGCTCTCTGGGATCCATCCTTCCACACCTTCAATGCCATCACCACATAAGCGAGTCCTACTCGTTTTCAATTTGGCTGGCTGGCATGGGGTTCAGCCTCTGCATGCTAATCTTCAGGAAGCCGCCCCCCCCCCAGGGTAGGGGGGTGGGGAGGTTTCACCTCTGCGCGGGGACGCTGCTGTCTTCTTAATCACCGCTGGCTTCTCAGCTCCAGTGGAGCTGACATTCCCTTCCAAGCTGCCCTAGAGGAGCACAGGCAGCTTGGAGCAGTCAGCTGCTTTGCCCGCCTGCCCACAGTTCAAGGGCCTTTCCCAGTCCTGGGGAAGGCCAGGTGATGGGGTCTGTCACAGCAAGACTCCACTCCAGGAACCAGGTTCCTCCGGAGTTAGGGTTTGTATTATTGCGATCAAACACCGTGACCCAAAGCCACTTGGGCGGAGAAGCGTTCGTTTCACCCTAGGGCTCCCAAGTCCCTCCCCAGAGGGAAGCCAGGGTGGGATCCCGGAGGCAGGAACTGCTGTAGCAGGTGTCTGTGGGAGAGTGCTCCCTACCGGCTTGCTCAGCCAGCTGTCCTACACAGCTCAGGATTGCCTGCCCCGGGGTGGGAAGGCCCCTGGCCACAACTCGCCACTCCCTCATCCCTTGCCCGCTCCCTTCCCCGCACCCCAACACCATGCCTACTTACCTCCTCTGGGCTGTCCCACATCCATCAGTCATGGCAGGCACACGCTATAGAGACGTTTTCTCACGCTACAGTCCCTCTTCCCAGAGGTGTCGCGTTGTCCAAAGCCAGCTAGCACAGAGCCACTCATCTCTGCATCCCTGAAGTTGGCATTCCACGGACAGCTAGCGAAGGATTGCCCGGTGCCTGCCCTCCCTCCCCCGCGCTGGTCCCCCCAGGCCTTCTCTCCGAGTCACACGGGTGGCCGGGGGGGGGGCGGCCGGACAGACCCTTCCCAGATGCCGATTCACACCGGTGTCTCCAGGCACCCGGGACTGGGAGGGTTTCTTGGACAGGGGAGGGCTGGAGTCCGGTGGGGAACAGGCTCTGTCTGGGCTCCCCCAGGATCTACTGGCGTCTCCCACTATGCCTGCCATCCGGGCGGAGCTCAATCCAGCCGTCAGCACTCAAGGATCTGACTCTGGGCCTCGGACTTGCTGGCACGGGCAGGACCGAGGGGACCCACCCGGCGCTGGACCCAACAGGTGGACCGACGTT